TTCAATCCCCCATACCTTCCTTCAAAATCAAAATCAAAATCCATAAATCCATGCGGGTTTGTGATTCATTTCTTTGATTTCATACCCATCATCACAAATCTCATAACCATACACTTGGGGGGTTGTAGATTCAAGAAACCATGAATGCAAATGTTTGGAAGAGAAGATCTAAAGACATCTCGGCCAATGATGATGATGATTCAAAACACAGACACAAATCCCATCTTCTTGGTTCGAACAAGAAGAGAAACAAGAACAAGAACAAGAACAAGAACAGGAGGATTGTGGATCAGAAGACCCCAACAGAGTACCCATTATTGAGATTTGAAGAATTACCAGAATACATGAAGGATAACGAGTTTATTTTGAATTATTACAGAGCTGATTGACCTTTGAAACAAGCCCTTTTTAGCCTATTTCGTTGGCACAATGAAACCCTAAATGTATGGACGTAAGTATCATCTCTCTCTCTATATATATATATATCTCAAACACAGGATAATTATTTCAAATTTAGATGGGGTTTTCTTGATTTTCTTTATTATGACAACTTAAAACTTGTTGCTGCTTCAAACAGATTCAACCATTTTGGAATTTTTGTGGGTTTGTTGCTAGTTTCAACTTTCATCGTCTAGGTTCCAATCTTGTTTCTATGAACAGAACTCCATAGAAATATGATTGTTTAGCTTCATCTTCATCTCCATCATCTTTTCTTCATCCCAAAAATCGTAAAACCAAACCCAKAATTGAAAAACCAAACCTATCCCCAAAACTCGTAAAACCAAAATGAAACCCAAAATCAAAAAACCAAACCAATCCCATGAATTAAACAAAACTCGGAAGAAAAACGAGAGCCACATACGAGAAACCTTAAAAAGAGAAACCAGAGGTGAGTCTATGTGCAGGGACGAGAAAGGGRGGTTGGGTGYTGCGACGGTGGTGGTCTTGTGGCTTTTGTTAGTACGGGTACGGATGACAGTTTCTTTTAGTTTTGTTTCAATTTGTCTATGAATGATAATTTCTTTTAGTTTTGCGSCGTCTYTCATTTTTATGGTTTAGTTTAAAGTAGGCTAGCATTTTGTGGATTGTTTTTTTGTGCTTTTGTTTCGTTTACCATCGTGAGGGTAAGATCCCCCTATTTTAAGTCCGTTCAAGCATCCATGACATGGGTTCACCACCACCTATATGCTTCTAGATTA